TGCAGATAAATATATAACATTAGACATTAACACATGAAACTTTAAACTTTATGAATACATTTTAATTCATATTTTTCAATATTTCATTTTGAATATATAGAGAAACAATTCTTTTTACTTAATATTAGACATTTTGCTAAATATTCAAAAACCAACAGACTGAAAGTAAAGACAAAACAAACACTCCTGACAGAGGATTCATGTCAAGTGCTCTAAAGCTCCGATGTCCTGAAATCAAACATTACTGAGACCTTTTTCTGTCACTCTGGTAACAGAGAACACAGGTCCCCGAGGCTCAGCAGTCTCCCTACTTGACCTGACAAAGACGTCTGTCCCTCAGTGTTGATGGTGTGGGCTTTCTTACGACCAGCATACCATCTGTGGTATGCACATTCCTGTGGTGACACAGGAGGCATCACCCAAATATATCAAAGGAAGTGTGGTTGAGGAAATACCTGAAGTGTTTGTGGGTCTCTGGGATACACTGAGCTGATCTCTCCCTGTGATGCTAATGATAGATGTCAGCAGAGAGCAAACTGCATGCATTAATGTTTTGAGATAATTTCTTGTTTCGAGAACCGCCGTTCCATTATGCGTCAAATCCTGTTCACCCTATTAGCCCTTGTCCGTAATGCAAAGGTAAGAGTACCTGAAATACTTATGAAGCAGCTCAAGATGTTTAATATTTCAGAGTTTCCGCTGACATGATTGGCCCAGCGACTCAGCCGGAAGAGCGGGAACTCTCAGTCATGCTGAATTAAGACCAATTAGTGACATGATGGTCAGCACAATATTGCACTTCTTGGTACTGATACTGTACTATGTGGCAATTTAAGGGTGATATACTGTGTGAAAAACAACAGCAGAAAAAAAGAGAAAGAAACTACACTCCCTTATTGTTCTTGCCATGACCTGAGAGCTGACCTTTGGCAGTCGGGCAAACAGACGACTGCTCTGTTGGACAAGCAGAGATCCTGTTTCTGGATCAGGTTAACCTGGATCCTCCACTGAACACATACAGGAACATAGAAAACATATCAGATATGCATCTTCGGGTCAAGTGCACCACCAGTCAAGACAAAGATCTGAAGACCAGTCTTCTGTCCAGTCCACATACCCACTGAGCCGTTTAGGTGATCTATATAGTTCCTGGCAGCCATACCAAACTAAACCTTGTATTGTCTGACTAGAATACTATCTTAATACATTTTATGAACAACTGGCGTATTAAAAGTAGCCCTTAAAACCAAAAAGATCACAAGTTTTACATATATTTCACAGATCTTGCTTTAATCAGTGATTAAATATAACATAATATATGTCTGTTTGGACGTGCTCTTTAGAGATAAAGTTATTAATTTGCTTATTTACATTGAGAATCATATAGAAGGATTTTAGTTGCTGGCACTTTGTGTAAAATTATCTTATATTGTTCTTTACTGCATAGATTTACAATAGGAAGTACTACTTAAAAAAAAAAAGTTACTGTAAACAATGTACTGATCGCCCTACCCTGTTTCAGCCTGGGTTCGTCAGTTGGATCTACACTATCAGATCTACATGTCTGAAACCAGAAAATTGCATGTAGCAATTCAAACTATTTTTTTTTTTGACAAAAAATATTCTCTCAAAGTGTTAATACTGTTTTTTTATGTTATTTTATTATTGTTAGTATATTTTTATTTAAATCTTGACAAACAAATATATATAGTCTTACCTCATTATTGCTTACCCAAACACATTTGCATATAATGTAAACAATCTGTGCCCTAAAATTGAGCTGGAAGGACTCCAAAGTAATATTTCTAGGTATGTTATCCTCCATGAAATGCAAAAAAAGTGCACATATGCACAGATCTGCATTTTATTAAGTTATATCTGATTTGATCATTAGTTTTTTTTTTAAATGGCAACAGTACTATGTACTTTGTTGGATAAAAGATGTGATTTCAGAGGTGAATTCAATAACAGATCAAATCTAAACTTCAATATTCTCTCACTGTGCTTTATCTTGTAAACTAGCATGAGCTATCTGTGTGATGATGTCAGATATATACAAACAGTTACATCAGAATTCAATCCCTAAATAAAAAATTACAAATACGTTAATGTATGCGCTAAAATGAAATATAACAGGATTTAGAAGAAATTAAAGAACAGAAAACGGCCCCTCGAAAATGTTTTTTTAGGATTATTCATGCCTGTCCTTCGAGCATAACAGTTATGTTTTTTTTGTTTTTATATTATCTTAATTCAAGGAATAAAACATTTTATAATTCATTATGGACGTCATATGCTCTCTTTTATGTGGTATACATGTATTCATGCGTTGACTTTATATTTGTTTCTTCAGTTATAATTTGAAATATCTTTCTGCATGATCTGTAACTTCCTGTAATATGGTTCATGTTTAATCAAAAACAAACAAACAAACAAGAGAAGAGATCTCAAACATTTCCGACGGAGAACACTGGTTCACTCCTCACAAACTCTTCTGGCTACTCGCCACATGCACTGAATTAAAAATCCAAGCCCAATCCAGACAGAGGATTCAGCATGTGGTAAGAGACAAATGTTGTCTCAGTATGCAAAAATCACGCTCGCTCTGCATCTCAAAAAGGAGGAGAGGCAGGACACCGTTTGTTTGGTTGAGACCATTTTGGCACACGTTTTGAAACGCTCATTGAGGACAAAAGCAGTGCCCATGTGTGTCATCAGACAGGACGGGGGGGAGGGAGGTTGGGTGAGGGTAGGGGAAGGTGTTTTCAGAGGTGAAACCTTGGCACCAGGCCTCCTGCTAATTGATCAGCTCAGATATCTTACGGTCGACTGGACCTCGTCCCATTGCTCAACGCAGGAGCTGCTGCAGGAAGAAATTTCCAGATGCCACTGCGTATAGCGCCAGGGCTCCTGGAGCGCACTGTCCCCCAAAATAAGTTCACACCATTCTCACCATCTTTCTGTGAGGGATGCAGGAGACCTTCTGACATATGGTTCTACTCTACTAATTACCTATTTGCAACACACTTTGGTTCTGAACTCTCCTCTCATTATATGTCGCTGTGTGGAATTTTGACATAGTGTCTAATTTCCGATTGAAAAAAATCTAACAAATTTAAATGAAGGTTTTCGTTTCTTTTAAATATTTCTCTAAAATGCTGATGATTTCTTTTGGTTAACTTTTTTGGGTTGCCTTGATTGATACACTGTTCCAGGATAATCTGGGTTAATGCCTTTTGGGGTGTACCGTCTCTTTTTTTGGGTGAGAGCAGCTTGAAGGAAGAATGTGAGGATGAGGCAGTGGGTAAACAGGAGAGAGAAAGAAAATTTCTTTGAGTGAGGTGTGAAAGGTGGGGAGGACACCATATGTTTTCCCCAGCTTGCACTTGCCAAGCCGATGGCCCTCAACATCTTAACACATTTTGACAATGTGTCAGCTGAGCTGCACCCCTGGTTGCTTATGAAGGTGCGATGGCATTATTGTGCATGTGTTGTCTATGTTGATGTACAATAAACAATGGTCTCCTTACATTCCTTCTCCACCCTCACACTCTGCAGTCACCTTCTCTCACCTCACCAGGCCAACTTCCTCTTAAAGTCTGTTTAATGTCTTAAAAATTTCAAATGTTTCTTTGAATACTTAAGATTCTTTATTTCTTTTGCAAAAAAAAAAGAACAAACCAACACACACAGTCTTCATCAAGGTCAAGCAGTGGACAAGGGTTCTTTTGTAAAAGTTGGGCCAGCGTTTGGATAGTGGGCCATAAGGAAATGGAAACCAAATGAAAAAAAATTTAATTATTGCAAATATGCAATAAGGTATAAACACCCTTTTTTGCTATAAAAGATTACACACAATGCCTTGCAAAATATTCATACTAGTTGAGCCTTTTCCCATTTTTTGAACCACAGTCATCAGTGTTCTGAATCTTCTAAATAAGATCAAACACTATCAACTTTAACTTTTAATAGCAAATATTGTCTGCATAATTGTTGGTGTAAAATAAACTCTTATGACAGCCTTACATGCTCGTTAGAGCACATTAGTAAACAAATACCGACCAAAGAAGCACCAGAGGGGGTAGGTTAAGTTATGAAACTTATTTCCAAGCTTTTTTAATCCAAAACTGGACAGAATATGGCACCATGCAAATGCGCTAAATTGTTGGTTAACCAATAAAACTTACGGGCACGGAGATAATTAGTGCATGAGGTAGCCAAAAATATGCATGGTATTTCTGGAGAAGAAAATGTCCAAAGCACCAGGTTCCAGAAAATACTGACCCCGACAACTAGAATCTCTGCACACCATAAACTAGGAAGAACCCATGAGGGACAAAGTAAACATGCAAATAACGGTTAAAACACACCAAGGCTGGAGTTTTTGACCATCATTAAAACGCTACCTTTGGTCAAGCACTAACCGTTTAAGTTACTGATTCCCTCATCATCCTTTAGTGATAAATGTATGGCAGCAGCATGCTGTGCATGGGGATGCTCCTGAGTGTGGATAGGGAGATACAAAACATACAGGCACATACCCCCAAAGACTATATGTTGGTCTATCAGATCCAAATGAGAAATAATTGTGTGCTTGAAACAAAAAGAGGAGAAACTCCAAAAAGCAAAGGATGCCTGCATACACTTTGCAGTGTTACAATATTAATAAAGCCTAATTATTTAGGATGTTAGCTTGAAAATTGAAGTACATTCTAAGTGGGTTAAAAAATAATCACAGACAAATGAATAAACGCAGCTATTACTTAAAACTATATATATATATATATATATATATATTTTTTTTTTTTTTTTTTTTTTTTTTTTTTTGCGCTCAATAACACCAAGACACACAAGACTGGGTCAGAACAAAGCTTTAGTTTGCCATGGATCTTTAGAAAGTTGCGGTTACTATGAAAATAGGAAGTTCACTCACTCAGCATAGTCCCGCCTGCAGAAAAGTTTGCTGTCCCGCAGAAAGCAGGAGTTCCTGAGCGGCTCCCCGCACGCTGCGCACCGCATGCACCCCTCATGCCAGAGGCCATCACTGACTCTGAGCAGGAACCTGTCCCTAATCGGCCGGTGGCATCCAGCACATGCTGTCTTCTGATCCATGTCTGCAGGGGAGGAAAAGAAAATAAATAAAAATAGCAAGTTTCATGTAAAATCAGAGATTCTGAATATCCAAACACAAATAAACGCTTAGATTTCATTTTACTTTACATTTACGCTTTTCTGCTAATTTTAATGGCCACATAGGCCTAGAAGAGACATCAACAAAATAATTTTAAAATATTAGGAAAAGAAATAAAGTCACATATTTACTTCATAAGAAATAAAAGCTGAAGATATTTCACCTAAAGTTAACGGAAAGAAAACACGTTTAATCAAATTTTAGAACTAATACATCTGAGATAAAACATCCGATATTACATATATTTTTAAAATTACCTGTAATATCTCAGTTTCTCGAAGGCAAAGAAGTATTTTGGCTCAGATATTCCCAGTTTTTGTCAAAGCATCTCTGGCGCTCAGAGTCCAGCTGCTGCTCGGAGCGGAGCCGCGCATCAAACTTTCTCTCCGGGTCTTCCACTCACTGACCTCTGAAAGCGTCCTCGCTCATCCAGTAAAAGCATGCACTACTCTATTCATTATCCTATTATAGAAGAACGGGAAAGAAACAGAGAGCTGGAGAGGCGTCCTTCATGTGCAGGTGCAGGTTACCTCTCTCCAAGTATCCCCCTCCTCCATCTCTCCCTTTCTCTCCCCCTGCAGCTTTATACTTTTCTACTCTGAATTCCTCTAAGAGGGATGGATGGATGCATGGGCAGATAGACAGTGTTATAATCTCATTAAGTTCAATATCTTAATTTGATTTGGTCAATAAAAAATATTCATATCGTGTTTTATTAAGCTGTTATTTTATATGACTGAGATTAAAACACAATAGGGAGTCAAACAAAGAAATAAATTGCATGTGGGATTAGGTTTAAAATGTGAAAGTACAGAAACCCATTTAAAGCACCTTAACAGAGTTGTCTTTTCTATTTTGTCATTTTATTTTCTAAAGATAGCATAGTTTTAGGATATGTAGACTGATGTTACATATTCTGCTTACTTTACTAATCCAGTCAATGATCAGCCAAAATATTAAAATTTCAGCATTATTTGTTCTATTCTCTCACCCGAAAGTAACACACGGTTTAGCTTGGCATATAGCCTGGAGCTCCAGTATTATTTTGCACATGTGCATTGCTTAAAAAAAAAAAAAA